AAACAAATAGAATGCAGATAATAAAAATAAATAATATTTACTTTTTTCCCTGCGAATTCGCGATAGTGAGGAAGAATTTAAAAAAAAACGATAGCATTAAAAAAGCACCTCACTAGATGGCGACTCTAGCAAAAGTTGATTTTTGCAGGAAACGAATGGACCAAAGAAAGTCATTTCCGTTTCTTTTTAACTAACATATTAAACAACTGAAATTCGAAAAGTTCGAAACTTGTATATCAATACAAATACGAAAAAGTACAAATAGAATATGAGTTGTTTATTGAGTTTTGAAAATCAATTTACTTTTATACATGAAAGAAAACCGGAAGGGTTGTCATGGAGAAATCGAGAACCTACCGTAGCGACATCTAGTTTGATTTCGGGAACTAATGTTTCTTTTTATATAGTTCCTCATTATAACCTATGGTACACACGTAGCATGCAGCTTGCCTTAGGTGAAGGAATTTTTAAAATTGGGCCAGTCGGGTCAGACCCTATTCTTTGCAAACAAACAATAAAATATTTCTTCTTTATAATACATATCGAGGTATTGATCTATATATAGATAAATAAAATTGGAGTGTCTATTTGTAATGTTAAAAAAATATTGTCTGTTTGGTCCAGCTAATTTTTTCCAGTAATTTTGGCTACTTTCCACACGGACGAAGTCGCGGGCACAGCTAGTCTAAATATTTATAACTCAAAGGTGACTGACTGACATAGTGGTCTATCAACGCACAGCCCAAACCACTGGACGGATCGGGCCGAAATTTGGCATGCAGGTAGATGTTATGACGTAGGCATCCGCTAAGAAAGGATTTTAATCAGTTCTACCCCCAAGGGGATAAAATAGCGGATGAAAGTTTGTATGAAACTTTGTCAATTTTAAACCGATCGGGATGAGACTCTGCATGCATAAAACTACTATGACGTGGGTATCCCCTGAGAAAGGGTTTTGATCAATTCTACCTCAAAGGGGATAAAATAGGGGATGAAAGTTTGTATGAAACTTTGTCAATTTCAAACCGATCAGGCTGAGACGTTGCATGCATAAAGCTACTATGACTTAGGCATCCCTAAGAAAGGATTTTGATAAATTCTACCCCTAAGGGGGTAAAACAGGGGATGAAACTTTATTTTAGGTATTTACACGATATAATTAATAAATATTCGTTAGAAATGCCGCTCATAGTAACTTTACCACGCGGACGAAGTCGCGAGCAAAAGCTAGTATACAATAAATTAGAAGCGGTAATTATGGAAACACCAACGACATCTTTTGACGATGAAACATATTATTAATGTGCTATTGCACGTTGAGTAACGCCATCTAGTGATCTCGTATAATACCGCAAAATGAAGACATTATCTGAGATGTTGCCGACAACAACCGGTAGAGGTAGGTACTGATGATTTAGAAGGCGCCTGATTCCCTTTTAGTTTTAACATTTGAAAGCTATCCACTAACTTCACCCTACAACTATTTGACTTGTGATAATCAGAATGGCAAGTGTTATGTTGGTATATGGTTACGGGAGAGAAATAAAAGAACGTGTTTACTGATCGACGGTCTGCTTTAATGTGGTATCACAAATAGATCAATGAATGAATGTTGAACGGAATGAATGATTGAATGAGTTATAGATTGTACGAATGATTTACTAATTACAAAGTGAAGGCTTGGATTTATGATATTTTCCAACATGTTACACGTAAATAGGTAAAACTTTAAGTTGTCATGTTTTTATTATGTCTCTTTAACGCTTGAAAAGCGCTTGCGACTAAACGTTACACGATTCCAAAACATCAGTGTCACAATCGCTGTACCTTTGTAAGGTATTGCGATAGGCTTTAAAATTTCTTATTGGTAAGGCTGAAATAGCAGAGGTTATAGTTATTCATTGATATATTTATAAAAATTGTAATGTAGTGACACTTAACGTCTTATCCGTATTTTACTATGTATTTTGTAAAATATTTGTATCATAAAGGGGTGTTGACAACTTATTTAATATTTTCATTTTACACGCGGATTACACGTGATAAATCTAAAAAAATATGTGCATATAAAAATGTATTTATCAAAATTTCCCGCGAAAACTCCAATTTCTGTCATGGCGTCGTTATGACGTCACGCCCCCTTAAACGAATATCGTTCTATGTATGCATAAGGCTGAATTCTCTAAGTTCTGAGATGAGTAAGAGGGGCGTGATGTCACGCGCAGTTAGTGTTCACGTGACAAAGTATAAAATATATGTTTTTTTCACAATAAATTTACGCAATAAGATTAAAAATAATAACTGAGATTATCGGTTTAAGTATATTAAATACTACTAAAAACTCTCAAGAGTGTTAAACCAACAAGTTAAACCAAGTTATAAGGCTGAAATGATGACATATATACCTATATACAATGCTTCTTTTATTTATGTCAAAGTCTTGTATATCAAGTTTTCGATTACCATTATCTATAGAAACGTAAAAAATTGAATAACTCTTTAAATTTCGCCTGGTGACAAACAGACTGACAGCGGATTCCGGAACCGGAAAACATACGATATTGACGTAAGCTTGGGGTAGGGAGTTATCGATAGTTATTTTAGTTTTGCTTACGTTTTGACACTTAATTTTCTTTATACACAGTATTACTAGAGATACACATATTACTAACTATATAAATACTGTGGTAATAAAGTGTGATATCTATACTATAGATAATTTTATAATTACTTGGTATTATGAAAAATATTGGCGTACTGATTTGCAAAATTCTTTCACCTACGGGAACTTACATAGGCTATAAGGCTATAATTTCCGGGGAAGTTACGGAACAGTTAATTTTTATAGAAATCCGTTAATTTACAATAAAAAAAAATGTTATAAACTAGGGCAAAATGCCAAGATTGCCTCTCCATGGTTTCCAAGCGACCTGTTGCATGCTCCAATGAACACCCCGCACCAATACTACCCTTAATTAAGCGTGCTAACACACGCACAGGCGGAGCGGAAAACTACCACCAGACGGAGAGAACGAGATAACTTAAGATAACATTTAAGAGAGAATAGTTAAAATAACCTTTATTCAAGAAGATTTCTTAAAATTACTTTTCAATTGTCCAATTTTTTTTTTTCTTTACCGCTTATTTAGGACGTCTTTTGGCAAATTATTGGTAACGAGTTACACAGAAATCATGTCATTAAAGAGAAAATACAATGATCTTATAATGATAACATAATTATTTAAAAATAATGGAAACAAGATAATTTTGAAATGACCCATCCAGTTGCTGGACCATCTTAAGTCCAAACATTCTTATCTGTTATATAATCGGATGCCTTATAATAAGCTATTTGTAATAGTAGATTTAAACTGCATGATATCTTATTGTTGTACTTTGCTTGGGACCTTATTGTAGAAGCGCACACAAACACCCCTGAATGAGTTATTAATTTTTTGCAGTCTAGTAATCATCTTAAATATCATAATTACTAAAGGACTATAGCCATGCATTTGAAAGGCATCATTCAATTAAGGGATTCTCGTTCCATTGTATAGCTGTTTTAATCAGTTGACTGAGAGATGTATAAGTAAATGCCCATGTTTTAAACTGCCAGAAATCCTTTTCATCTGTCATTAGACCAATCATCGTTCGTTCCCCTGTTGAGATTCCGCTAATCGTAAGCACTAAAGCCTCACCTTATTCTAACCATGCGTGTCATACGATTACCTACCGCTGATTCAGTCCGCTAACGCTTGTGGGCCGCGCACCATGCTCATAGACGTACATACAGTCAAATAAACAAAATAATAACATTTCAACAGGTGGAAATAAAAAGTTAGTGTTTATTGGAATATCAATTGTGGAATTATTAAATAATCAGCTTAATGTGAAAATCGAATGCATTTTTTAGTGATAATGAGTTAAGGCGGGATTGTGCGATATAACCTCTTTTAAACCAATTTTATTCTAAGATTAATAAATCTTACACTAAATGTAAACGGAAGAATACCGCAATATAATACTGAAAACTGTATTTAAATCGGTTCAGCCGTTTGTGTGATTATCGTGCACAAACGCACAGACAAACAGACAAACCGACAAACAGACAAAAAAAATTAAAAATCATTGTTTTGTGTTCTATTACGCTTATAAATGTCCCTCATAACAGTTTTTTTCATATATCTTCAATGTACAGACATCGATCGGTTACGTTTTTATTATAGCATAGATTATACTAATATTTGTCCAATAAAAATGAATTTATAAAAATTTAACACACACAAATGTCGAAGGAAAGAGCTATATGCTAATTGAAATCTTTCGACAGGTTTAGGTTAGCGTTTGTTTGTCTGTTTGTTTGTCTGTTGATCATTCAAACCACCATTCATTCCAACAGTTATTGCGACTTTTAAAGTCGTCACTTAGTTCCATAAATAACTATTACAATCGCTGTACCTTTAATATATATCATATACCATTTTGAAATAAGACAATTAGTCCACATTGCTGTTTTGAAGGGTGAAGTCCAGAACTGCTGGACTTATTTAAAAAATTCACCTACGGGTTGCTTCATCAGATATGGGCTTTAATATGAAGCAGATTTGATATACGCGTATTCGCGAAAACCCTCCTGCAACAGAGAATATAATTTTTCTAGCTTTCCGCCGCCATCGGAAACTTTGCATTAACCCTACATAGTATAAAACAAAGTCGCTTTCTCTGTCCATATATCCGTATGTACGCTTAAGTCTTTAAAACTACGCAACGGATTTTGATGCGGCTTTTTTTCATAGATAAGGTGATTCAAAATGAAGGTTTTTTATGTATAATACACGACCACGCGGGCAAAGCCGCTGGCGGAATTACACATAAAAGAAACTCACTCTGTGTATTGATGAAAACCGCCGGTTGTGTAATTTAAAAAGATCGGACAGACATACGGATTCTTCTGTTAGGTTTGGTAATATTCAGCCAATGTTTGTTCTACGACAGGAATCATGCAACGCAACGACAGATGGCCGGACGAATACGAACCGGACACGGCTAAAAGTCGGCCGACGTCCAGGAGGAACTCCGCGTCCCTCTCCAGAAGGAACAGCGTCACAAAGAAAGAGAAAGACTCGAAGAAGAAGTCGTCGCTAAACACCAGCTCGAATTCCGCCAACTCCACGCCGAAGAAGGTCGGAAAACCGCAGAACTTAGACTTCGTGGTGACTGGAAGGCAGTGCTTGAAGAAGTAAGTGCAAGTGCGAGTCGGAGTCGTGCACGAAGAGTTCCGTAAAGGAAACGAACAAAAAAAAACACGTTTGTTGTATGGGAGCCCCCTTAAATATTTTATTCTGGTCTAAGTTTCAAGATTCATGAGCCTGATAACAGACAAACAGACAGACAGGTAGCGAAGTCTTTGTAATAGTGTTACGTTTTTCCCTTTGGGCACGGAAACCTACAAAATTAATTCTCAAAACCTAACTAGATGTCGCTACGTAGTTTGAAACATTTTTAATGTTATATTTTTATTTGGAATAATGTTTCGGTAATTTGTAATTTAATATGAATCATTGGGTCTAAAATATAGATTTATTATTATTATATTGAACTTAAGAAATTTAAACTATTGTCTTTCGTTCATATTGAAGTCACCATATTGTGTCAAAAATTTACACGAAATGTTTCAAACACAGTACCGCCACCTAGTGGTCTTTAAATCGTTTATAGTTTGGCCTACCCTGCACTTCCAACCAGAAATATTAAGCAAGATTAGACAAAAGTCTACTGTGTGTAACGTCCTACTGTAGTCTATGAGTACACTGTAAAGTTTACCTGCCTGTTTTCTATAAAAATAAAAATAAATTAACGGTGCCTGTCACTAGACTGCAAAAAGTTAGTAACTTATTCAAGGGTCTTTGTGTGCGCTTCTACAATAAGGTCCCAAGCAAAATACAACAATTAGATATCATGCAGTTTAAATCTACTATTAAAAATATACTTATTAAAAAAGCTTATTATAAGGTATCCGATTATATAACAGATAAGAAAGCTTGGACTTGAAATGATCCAGCAACTGGATAGGTGATTACTTCTAAACTCATTATCTTGTTTCCATTATTATTAAATGATTATGTTATTGTTATAAGATCATAGTAGTTTTTAATCCATTTATAATGTATTGATCTGGTAATGACATGGTTTTTGTAAATGTCATTACTCCCATTAGAGCTGATGAGTTTCTTGCTCGTTCTTCTTATCAGCCAAAAGACGTCCTGAACGAGTGGTAGGGAAAAATGTTGGACGATTCAAAAGTACTTTTAAGAAATCTATTGGAATAAAGATTATTTTGACTTTGACTTTCGTTTATCTGCGAGGTTTTCTCTGAACTGGTCCCAGGTCAGATCGTGCCAACTCCCTGCCTGGTTACCATCGCCGTCCTTCCACCGAAACCGTTAAAACCAAGAAGCTGTACGAGTCACCGAAGAAGATAGCCAACGTATCCCAGTCGTCCAAGAGCAGAGAGACGTCTCTTGAAGATGACGTGTCCTTAGATCTCTCACAGGTGAATAAAATTATTATATGTGAATTGATCGATGAATGTTTCACTTCTATGTTATCCCTTACGGGGTAGGCAATCTATGTTGTGTGCCTGGAATGTGTTCTACAGTTTTTTTCTCGCTTACTCCTCCCTAGATACGGGCTTGCAGTCGCGTGAACTCCTGTAATAATTAGTTTACTTAAAAATGTAGCATGTCCAATAAACACTACCCTCTGAATTAGAAATATGTTATGTTACTCGTAATAGTTTAATTCATAATGGAAGTATTTAAACAAAAAGAAAGCGCTAAAAAAGCACCTTCACTAGATGGCGACTCTAGCAAAAGTTGATTTTTGCAGGAAACGAATGGACCAAAGGCAGTCTAGTCCGTTCTGTTTAACTAACCATATTAAAAAACTGAAATTTGCAAAGTTCTAAACTTAGATATCAATACAAATACGAAAAGTACAAATAGAATATGAGTTGTTTATTGAGTTTTGAAAACTAATTTACTTTTAAACTTGAAAAAAAAATCCGGAAAGGTTGTCATGGAGAAATCAAGAACGTACTGTAGCGACATCTAGTTTGATTTACTTTTATACATGAAAGAAAACCGGAAGGGTTGTCGTGGAGAAATCAAGAACGTACTGTAGCGACATCTAGTTTGATTTACTTTTATACACGAAAGAAAACCGGAAGGGTTGTCGTGGAGAAATCAAGAACGTACTGTAGCGACATCTAGTTTGATTTCGGTATTTTTTTTTATTCTTCCTCATTGATGTAATGCTCAAATCTTAAAGTTACATTGCTATAGGTAAGGGATCACCACTAAGCTATTAAGGTGTTACTAACCGTTTAATGATAAACTAGCTTTAGCCCGCGACTTTGTCCGCGCGGTAAAGTTACTTTGAGCAGCATTTCTAACGAATATTTATTCATTATATTGTGAAAAATATCTGAAATAAATGTGCTCCCTAGGGGTGGAATTTATCAAAATTCTTTCTTAGAGGATGCCTACGTCATAGTAGTTTTATGCATGCTAAGTCTCAGGTTTAAAATTGACAAAGTTTTATACAAACTTTCATCCTCTATTTTATCCCCTTTAGTGGTAGAACTGATTAAAATCCTTTCTTAGCGGATGCCTACGTCATAACATCTACCTGCATGTCAAATTTCACCCCGATACGTCCCGTGGTTTGGGCTGTGCGTTGATAGATCACTATGTCAGTCAGTCACCTTTAAGTTATATAGATATGTAGCGATTTTACAAATAAATGATACAATCTTGTCTTTAAGGTGTCAGATTTCGAGGACAACTACTCGAAATATGGACTGAATCAGAAGTTTAATGCATTAGCTACGTCCACTCCTAAACTCGGGGTGAAAGGCAAACCTCGGAGTGGTTCACTGCAGAATCAATTACAAACTGCCAGGTTGGAGAGTACAATGAAACAGTCCTTCGAGTCCAAGAGTAAGAGCAGCAAGGACAGCTTGTACAAGACTTCGTCATCGGCCAGTAACTACAGGTGAGAAACTAAATAAATCTAGCGTATTCACACTGCGACGATAACACGACACGACATGATATTCAGCTAATTTCAGCTCGGACCGCAACAATACCGTTATGTGACATGATATAACTTACAGGTTGTTAGTTGATCACGTTTTAACCTACACTTAAAGTATATAACGGCGGGTAGTCAGAAGGGCCTATTACGAAGCCCAAATAGATCGTCCATATCGGAGGACTATCTTTAAAATAACACTGCAGGCGTGTATACCAACGTGGATTTGTTCCATTTTATCACTTTTCATACGAAAATGTAACGAGATGAGCGTGATGACGTCGGATGTCTTTACTCCTCGGCGATCGGAAACAGAATGTGTGCGAAAATGGCGGCAATTTGGTTTTTGTTAACGAACTGTCAAATTCAGTGTCACCATTCTAATAAAATTAAAAGTATCGATGATCACGCTCTCTCTACAATCGAGTAATTAAGTAATCGAGTAACTAGCAATTAAAATAAAAGAAACTAAATCAAACGATCTTCGTAAAGATGATGCGACATATATCAACCTCCTTTCTAGACTTAAACAAAAGTAATAAAAAGGTATAAAGCATCAGCTTGTTATTAAAAAAATTGTCTTCTTGATAAATATAGTTCCAGTATAAGTTCTTTTTCGTTTTTTATTTAAAGTACAAATAATAGTTTATCAAGCTATCGAAACAAACACTAGTTGCAGCTAGCGTTTTACATAACTATATCATGATGCACTGGCCCGCATCCGCCAAAATCATAATAATAAAGTTAAAAATGTATGCGCTTTGTAAATGCAATATCGAGTTCTCGAAATCACTGAAGTGTTTCGAGTCGCATCACTAATGTTGTCTTATGTTAAGAAGGAAGTATTTAAAAAAAATATTAGCTCTCGAAATCAAACTAGATGTCACTACGGTACTTTCTTGATTTCTCCATGACAACCCTTCTGGTTTTCTTTCATGTATAAAAGTAAATTAGTTTTCAAAACTCAATAAACAACTCATATTCTATTTGTACTTTTTCGTATTTGTATTGATATCTAAGTTTCGAACTTTGCAAATTTCAGTTTTTTAATATGTCAGTGAAAAGGAACGCAAATGACTGTCTTTGGTCCATTCGTTTCCTGCAAAAATCAACTTTTGCTAGAGTCGCCATCTAGTGGAGGTGCTTTTTAGTGCTTTCTTTTTTTAAAATACTTCCTTATTATTCCCGTATAGGCACGGTCTGAGCACCGAGTTGGATTATTCCTCTGTGTCCCCGGAGTACTCTGGTCTATCGTCGGCGGACCTCTCCCCGCGCGTGTCTCGACATACCGACGTCGCGCAGTCGCCGGGCACGATCGGCCGGCCAGTGTCAAGGTTCTTATCACTTCTTTATGTATTTATTCATCATCTTCAGACCTTTATATCCCCACTGCAGGGGCTTGTCCTTAGTTTTGTATAGTTTCCATTAGCCAAAAGTTTTAGTAAGCCAAATTTTCTCCGCCTTAGCAATAATTCAGCCTTTTGCAAATGTTTACATTTCTATTTGTTTTATGTGTTTTAAAGTATATTTTAATCAATCAATCAACCCACTCCAGGGTCTTCCTTATGGATAGTTAAGCAGGATTGTCCAAGGCCCCAATGCGGATGGAAGGGAGGATCCATGACTCTTCACGCAGGACCAATGTGGAATGGAGGGCATTAACGACTGCAAAATGCAGCTGGGACTGACGGCTTAACTTTTCGAAACAATGGAGACTCGAGATAATATCTTTCGGTCACCCATCCCGTGATCGACCCTTGAGAAAGTCGCTTAGCAACAACGGCCGCGGCGCTCATCCACTACACCACTGAGCAACTCTACAGCACTCTGATTTTTAATTAGAATAACTAAAATGACAGACCCTTTTTTATCTTCTAACATAGCAAGCTTTTGTTTTACAGCCAGTTGCACAAATGTCTATTAAAATTGTCATTAGTGTAAAACGACATTACCCATACAAATTTGATATTCATTAGAGCTTAAAGGCGTCATTAAACCTTAATGGATGTTTGTGCAACTGACCGTAGTGATATAACATAGTTATTTATTTGATTCATTTATCCATTATGTCTTATACGGTATACATAATTAATACAATATTGATAGCTTGATTGTTTTTGTGGTCTTATTCAACATTGATCCGATATTTTCTCGTCACATTGAAAATTCGTACACAGTTGCTGCAGTTGGCAGGACTGCAGCGAGATGGAGAAGACAGCGATGTGCGAGAGAGACGGAGAATGGTCCAGCTTCTGGGCTAATTACAATAACTCCCTGTCCAAGGTTAGTGAAACGAACCTTTATGTCACCACTGCTAATGCACAGGATTCTTAATTGTTGGATATAATCGAAAATATATATTTTATTTCATAAAACTTCAATTGTTTCATTTTCTATGATTAAAAATGTATGAAATTAAGCGAGCTCGTCTTTACTCTTGATGCGTATTTTTATGGGAACGTAATTGGAGGTACAAAAGTGCCTTAAAATTCCTTTTAAACCAAATGTCAATCAGAAAAGGAAATCTCTTAGGTATGTCTGTGCGTATGTGTATTTATATGTACTAAGCTAATATAAAATAGTAATTTTATTACATTATAAGGTACCTGTGAAGAACTACTACGACCAGTGTCCGACGCCATACAGGACGGAGAACATCGACCTGGCAGACCTCGGTAATATCTCTGGTACGCTACGACACTTTACAGTGCTACGCCGTAGCACACTGCGCTACATCTTTCTACAGCGAGAGAGCTCTCGCGTCACTTCATCTGAATTTCTGTTTTTGTAAAGCTTTTATTTAACTTGCAATTGTATGTAAGCATGTTTGTTCGGGTGGCATTATTGAACTCAATTTTAAAGTAAATATCTTCAAGATGATATCTTCATGAAATATCTTCAAGAAGATAGATGTCGCTACGGTACTTTCTTGTTTTCTCCATGACAACCCTTCCGGTTTACTTTCATGTATAAATGTGAATTAGTTGTCAAAACTCAAGAAACAACTCATATTTTATTTGTACTTTTTCGTATTTTTATTATCTAAGTTTGGAACTTTACAATTTTTTTTTAAATATGTTAGTTTAAAGGAACGGAAATTACTATCTTTGGTCCATTCGTTTTCTGCAATAATCAGCTTTTGGTAGAGTTTCCATCTAGTGAGGTACTTTTTAGTGGTTTCTTTTTTTTAAATACTCCCTCCAAGTTTTTCGCTGGACTATAATTAAATCATCATGTTTATTATAAAAATATATTATATTATTCAGTATAGTTTTAATTAAAAATACGTTTTAATAAAAAAAAATTAATTAAAAATCAGCGCCATCTCTTGGCCTTGCTATAAATCTTTTTTACTTTTACAGAATTATCGACTGATGGTTCAAGGAAGCGATCGCCCGATAACATGCAGAATATAAATTACATAATTCGCAATGAGGGGTTACATTTGACACCGAGAGAGACTCAGAATATGATAAAATGCGCGCACATTCTTGGCAACGTACTCAGCAAAGCTATCGAAAGAAGATCCCGCGAAAAAGGCAAGACGACAGACGAGAAAATACAAGAGGTACAAATGGATAAAGACGATCCGGAAATCGAAATTAAAAAGAAAACTCTGACACTAGAACTGAAAGAGACGAACATACCTGCCGATGTACAAGAAGAAAAGAGAAGCGAGACAGTCACGACGCAGACCGACATTTCTTTGCCGAACACGAAGAGCGCGCCGAAGATATTTGAAAAAATTCTGCGGCAACTCTCGAAGACTTCACTCGATGAGAGTCTGAATAAGATTATTGATAACAAGGCATTGGATCATAAAGATGAGAGTACAGAGAATAATGAAGGCAATTAATCGGGCCAAGTGGAGTCGACGGGTTCCGTACTTTTTATCACTAAATAGTATAAAACAAAGTCGCTTCCTCTGTCCCTATATCCGTATGTACGCTTAAGTCTTTAAAACTACGCAACGGATTTTGATGCGGCTTTTTTTCATATATAGGGTGATTCAAAAGGAAGGTTTTTATGTATAATACAAGAGCGCGCCGGCGAAGCCGCTGGTTAGCTAGTTATCTATAAACCGCGTTTGTTGGTTGATTTCATTTTTAGTATTTGTCTTTGTAGTAGTAACAAACTTACATTTGTAAATATTTCAACTGTCTAACTTCATGAGATTTACTTGTCTGGTGACAAACGGACGGACAGCGGAGTCTAGGGTCCCGTTTTTGCTCTTTGAGTACGAAATCCTACGAGAGTTTGCTGTTGGAGTAAATTAACCTTGAGACTGCACTTAGTATTAGTCAAAATTCATATTATTAAACAGAGACTTGGCAAAGGTTTACCTAGTGCGAGGTTCTACGGGAGTAATATTTACTCCTAGAAGGCAGCAGGTTTGCTTATTGTCTGTATAATATGAATTTGGATTAATAAGAAAATTGCAATTTACCGTTAATTTACTTTTACGCTAAAGTTTGTTTAATAATAACACTTAAATTTATGCTGCATGTAAGTCAACAAGAAAATACAGACAGCGGAGTCGTATTTTACCGATTATTGTATGGGGTCACTACTTTACCGAAATGTTATGTGGTTTATTTATTAGTATATAGGTTGATATTTAACTTATTGATGAGTTTACTATCTGACTCTATTTATACGAAGGATCGGTAAAATAAATAAACGTGTTCACAGTTATGAGTTTACTTTCAGACTATTTGATGTTGAAGTGCCACTTACAAAATACAAAATATCATAGATTACGTTGCCACAGAGTGGTCGACAAAGATTATAAAACAGATGTGCCACAGTATTTAATACGGGATATATTTTGTAATAAACGATATGATAGTGAGAAAGAGATGGAATGATAACAAAGATTATATTAAATTAATTTTATTAATGTAATAGCTTAATGTAACATACCTATCCAAAATATATTCAAATAAAATATTTTATAATCCTTAAATATTTATAAATATCTATAACGCAGTTACTTGTTCTACGTCTATTTAAATTGGTATCTAACTAATATATGTCGCAGCCAAGTGGTGTAATCAGCCGACCAATTAGTCTGCTAGCTTTTTAATTGAATGGCGCAATTCAATTAACGTGTTGACTTTCGATCAGCCGAGTAGCTGAAGGCAACGTTCTACAATACGACTAAACAAATGTCAGCTAACTAATTAACTCTCAATTCATAGGGAATACCGAAATTTATTGGTAGGATTAGAAGTAAAACAAAACATTGTAGTGGGTAATTTATCCAGGACGTATTTTCCTCATATCATTCATCACATTCTTATGATTAATTCTTAATACGAATACAATTATGCAAAAACAAGATTACCGCTACTCAGACAGCGCCATCTATCGAAATGATAGCGAATAATGTATTTGAATGCGATAGTTTTAGTATGTTTATTATGATTTCGAAATTTGGTGCTACAATAGTTGATAACAACATGGAATGATAAACAACGAAGTTATTTTGGTCCTGTAGGTCACGTGATAGGTTAGAAAGACTCGCAAGGCGTAGGGTAGCGATCATCTTAATAACTTGGTAAATTTTAAATCAGTCATCTAGTTAAACGGTTGGTGAAAATAATGATACAACAAAAAAAGTAGGCGTGCCATTAAATGGCTATCGCTCAGTTGAATGGCTGTTTTAACTAGTTGGCTGCGACATATATGCCACAAATAATAAAGAAACGTGTAACGCCTGCCAGATGTGATTAGCAAATGTTAACTACAGTAAATGTATTGACTAATCCTTTCAGGCAATAAAAAAAAACATGTAACATTTAAAATTTGTTGATATAAAATAAATTGTATTCTATATGTTCAAAATAAAATGTGAATATTAAAAAAAGTTAAATGTTTTTTTCTATAGTTTTTGTTAGAGGTGAAAAAAACTGTGTGACGCGCGCTTTTTGCTCTAAAATATAATTTTAATTACTTCTGTAGCTTCTGTTATATTCTGTACAAGTAGGCTTCTTATTAGTTCAGTAATTTTTATTGAACTAGCACCTAACGTATTAGTGTCAGTGTTTTAGGAATGCATCCTATACCGATACTAGTATATCTGCGATATTGCGAGTTTTACGAATCAAAAATCAAAATTATTTATTCAGTCTAGGCTGTTACAAGCACTTGTGAAAGTCGAGAGCTACGCCATCGGTTCGTAAATCTACGGCGGGAGACCTTGTACCGAGAAGAACCGGCAAGAAACTCGGCAAGGGCTTCTTTTTTCTCCGTTTTATTTCATAAAGAGCGTCAACATTTTTGAAGTTTGCCGACATATCAAATAAATTTTGCATTTCGCGTGGTACAAATGTGCTTTATGAAAGATTTTAGTAGGATATGTATTTATTGTGTTAACATGCAATATCCACCTCCCCTTACCCATTTCGCTAGTTGCTTTTGGTATGTAATTTGCATTTCTTATTGTTTTGTTTTTATTTCATATTAACTTTCCAGCTTTCTTTGTATCTTAGCTGTCCATATCGTATCGGTTGAAGTGCGAAGTTAGAGGTGCTTTCTTATTTTCGACCGACTTTAAAAAAAGGAGGTTCTCAATTCGACTGTATTTTATTTTCTGTTTGCTACCTCATTACTTTTAACTGGGTGGACCGATTTTGAGGTTACTTTCTTTATTTAAAAGCTAGTGCTTGTCGTGTGGTCCCATTTTATTTTGGTCCAGATCTGGCAATGGCATCTATGAAAAAACCATATAAGCCTTAAATTTGCATTAAGTATGCGTGATGTTTGTTGCCGCAAAACTCAAAATATCACTAAATATATGAAATAAAAATGAAACCAACTTCAAATTAAAAAAAAAAGTTTCTCAAAAGTGAAAAATAATACTTATCTTAAAAGCGGTTACATTTTCTAAGAGATTTTCTATAGTAACTTAAATAATAACCGCTTTCAAAATAAGTATTATTTTTCATTTTTTTTTAAATTTAAGTCGATTCCATATTTTTTAGTTTTTTTATACTGTAGCCACGGTATTCGGTTCATACGACTCAAAACATACTATACTTTTGTATATTATAGTATGTATACGTAGGTATATTTTTAATTTTTTTTTCAAGGTGTTTTTTATTCAATAAATAGTGTTTTTCAAAAGGAAGATTTTTGATATTGTTTTACATACCAGTAAACAATAATTATTAATAATTAATTCGACAGGGACGCGAAATAAAATAAGTATTAGAATCAAAGACATTATATTGCAGTTTTATAATTAAATGTTACAAAATTTTTATGTCTAACTTAAAATTACTATTTACATATATTATTACAAACATATATTAATTAATGTTAATAAGCGTAAGTATTACGAGACAGTTCTCTTTTAAATATTCATAAATACGTCACAAATAGCGTCACAGTTTTTACGTCAGGAATGACGCATCTACAAATAATCAAACAGAACACAAAACTCTACACAAAATTTCAAAAAACAAAAAGAAATTACTCGCCAATATAGAAAAAAAAATATTAAAAAAAAAATCTTCTCAAAATTTCTTCTCAAAAGATAACGGATAGTAAACAAAAAAAAAGTGGTTTCTAGCTATCTATGGCAGACGTGTTTTTGGCGCGAATTTTCAATAATGACACGTATACTTAATAAAAATGGCATCCAATTTTTAAACTATAAATATAGTATTATACATAGAACAGGGAAACCAGGCCTCTAGCTCAGTAAGACAGAGAAAGTAGATGGCGGTACCACACATGTCATTCTCTACTAGCACATATATGGCGGACCCATTCGATAGGGCACCCAGATCTCCCTCTTTCTAACCAAGGATTTTTCCTCTTACGAGCACCCATATTTCTTCCTGACTCTATGTCAAAAATCAAAAGAAACCATGTTTAAAGATATACTACTAAATATGACACAATTTTTCAATTATTAAATAATGAACTCACTTAATTTCTTACTTACAATAATATTTCTATATAAAAAAAAACGTAATTATTGCATTCGGATGTTCTCGGATACTTTTGTTTATACATAATTATGTTATATCACGGTCGCGGAACAGAGAATTCCGTACGTTGACCTTTCTTCGTCAGAGTATAATATACTCTGTGCCTACTGATAGATATCGTCAACGGTTTACCTGCACTTTAGTATGACAAAATTGGGTAGGTGCATCTGTGCGAGCGAGATAGCATTATGTTAGCGCACGAATAGAAAGAGATATGAAATGCCGGGTCATTGTACTAAATTCTCTGCGTTCAGCGACCGGGCTATAGACAATGGCGGACTGACGCCTGCTAAAACTACGAAACTAAGAAAGATAAGGCAGTACAACCCCAATTTATGTTTTGATCAAGGGAACTTTCAGCCATTTGGAGGCCCCCCTGGATGAGAGGCCCGGGGCGGATCACCCCCCCCCCCCCCTTAGTCCGCCACTGGCTATAGATGGAGATTAAATCGATTTTCATGAAGATGTTTGAATTTATGTTTCGTTAAAAAGGCAAAGGTATTACTTTTGTCGACCTATTAAGGTCAAGTTAGACATTAATATTTTCTAATATGCTTTGTAAAATCATATAATGGAATATTCAAACTATTATTAACTATCAAAACGTCCAATTGAATATCAAATCTAACTCAATAAAGGTGTAAAATCAAAATTATTGACATTATTAAAGAATAATTGTAAAAATAATATTTTAATACCCAGTTTTTTTTTACAACTTTTTATAGCTCTCTGTTCTTTCGTCATATAATAAAATGAGATAGCTTAAGTCTATTATAGTCTTAGAAAATGTATAGAAACTTTATAATCCCGTAATTCCATCAAAATGTATTATAAATAGAGTAATAGTTTTCAAACGTCAATAAATCCAATAATACACATACGCAAATAAGAACGAGCGGTAATTATCCTTAGAGACATGGCTATTCTTATATTTATATTTACAATTACTGAATATTTATATGTTAAAGCTTCTTTTGGACACAACTTGACATGTTTTAAATTTAAACTATCAATGGAGATGCTGTAACAGAATATCTGAGGGGTCCAATTATCTAATTATATTCACGAAATTCACTAATTAACACGTGATTGCGACCGCGACTCTCTGAAAGATATTGATTGTTTTAATTTGACGTTAATTTTAATTGTCTAAAGCAACGTTCGACGCAAATATTTTTGAAACCTATTGAGAAATCTCCACCGCTTTAGGTAAGTTTTTATTATGTATCTTAATTATTCGAATCATCATTCGTTTTAAAATTATTAAGATTATGAAATTAGGCAATCAGGCCACTGGTTCGCTTCTCGGTATGTTCAATTAGAAATTGTCTGGGTGTTATGGTACCTATGTCTTCGGATATTACTTATTTAGCTACTTAATTTGGTCCTGAGCAATGTAAGTTGAATATTTATTTTTATAGAGTAACTTATTAAACGCGGGCGTGAAGTCAATTCAACTGATTTAATAAAAATAAAATGTTTTAAATTTTATTTCAAAAGGTGTATTAATTAATTTATTAGAATTAATATTATTTATGAATTAATTTAGAGGAATTGGATCTTAACAAAATTATTTACATAATCTTTGTGATTTAATCATATAGTTTATGATGTCGAGGTCCATGCGTAAGTGAAGGGACGTCAGCCGATGCCTGCCCACGGATTGGTGACCGAAATTTCACAGAAACTTATTTAAATAAATATTCTTTAATACATTGTTGAAATCCAATTGAATTCCGGTAAAACGCAAACTAGTAAATTTAAAAAACTAATTCATTTTCATAATAAACATGGACATATTATAATATAGAGTGGGGGAAGTTACCGTCACTCGGTAAGAGAGAAAAGACCGAGGTACACTATCTGTCTCTGTCTAATATTGGGATTCATCTGGATCGTCCATACATTTCTGATGACCAGAACCCAGAAAAAAAAATGGAAATATCCCGCTAATAAAATTAATATATTTCCTTTAAAAAAAGCATTTATATTTTCCAAAATGTTGAATTTTTGACCATTGTTAGATGTTTATTATTAATGCATCAGTATATACCGCGATCTTCCATCTCTTTCTAATAGAGTACAGATACTTCGTGTGTTCCCTGCCCTACCTTTAATATATTTATTCGGAAAAAAAAACGAATCGGAACGAAAAACAAACAAAATTAATATCTTTTACTATAATAACCTACCAAATTAATATTACCTATTCATTGTCCACACAGAAACTGTCCAAAGATAAAATTTCCCGATAAAATTCAATGTCTCTCAAAAACTAAAATAATAATAATAATAAAAAAAAATCTAGTGCAATTTTTTTTCTACTTTCTTTTCTTCCTTTCTCAGAATATATTGCGGAGTCGAAAATATAATAACATAATTAAACTTAAGCTAAATGGCATACAATCGGAGGTGGGATAACTTCACTTATATACTAAAACAGACTTATTACAAAACGAAGACCAACTTTAGCTAATGTCTAATTGAATGAACGATATAAGGCGAGCGTTAGACGCAAAAATGAATAAAAGCTATTAAAAAAAATTCAAAATATTCTTTTTATTATGTTTCCGATTTCAAATCGTTCATTAAAAAAAAATTTAATTATATAAATCGCTATCACAATGCTTTGAAAGGGATAGGCTTTGTGATTAGACGATAAACCCCCAAGTTTAAAAAACAATCCGTCGACTTTACGTTTTCTCTTCTGCCATTGTCAATGTCGCTTTAGTTAGTCAACCTAGTATTAACTTTGGTCTCCGTTTTGTAATAAAAAGTGTTATTTTTGTACTAATTCTTTAAACTATTTTATCAAATAATATGGCATAAAAAAATCTTTATTTATTTACAATAGTTCTTTTTTTTTCACTTTATTTCATAAACGATCAGTGCATTTGAAATTTTCAAAATGCAAATCGCCAAAACACAAAAGACTCATTGCACGTCAAATGGGAAAGTCTCAAAACGGAAACGGCTAAGTCTTTTCGATTAAAACACGCTTTCACGCGATTTTAGTTTAATAATGAGAAATATCGTTTATATTTTGTGAATTATTCATTGCTATATCCACAATTATCTGCAGTAATGTGATTTAAAAAAAAATTGAGATTCAAAACCATGACTGTTTTCTCTAAATTGTTTAAATAGTTAAATAGTTTCGTGTCTTTATTTGATTGGGATTGCAAAAAAAAAACTAAATAAATTTTGTATTTTTCTTAAATATTAGTATGACATCATATTTTATATCGACAGACTTAGCTCGCCGTTTTCGTTAAAGAATTTCCTTTTTTTTTATATATTTAACACAAATTGATCTCAAAACAATCCATAATACATAGATATTCTTTTTATATCGACAGACGGTCTTTTCAATAGAACGATGTTTTTAGAACATTATTTCATAGTCTTCTAGCGAACATGATTATAATATTTCAAACCAGAACACGATTTATCGTATAACGAAGAAAAGACGGTCTTTTCGGTAGACCGTTAAAACCACTGTTTTCTATGCAGTTTAAAGCTGAAACAGATTTCCAGGAAAAACCCGTTTTCTATTAAAAAGACCGTGGTCTTTTCAGTAGACCATCCATAGTTTTGTTGAGAAACCGCTGCTATTCAACAAGCGGTCGATATCTGACCACTATTCTCTCCAGAAAAGACCGTGGTCTTTTCAGTAGACAGTGTTTTAAAGTAACAATCTGTGCCTTCTATGATGTATCGAAGAGGATGGTTGCGATACGGACCTGTGTTTTCTTAGCGACTCTTTGTGTTTAGGATCCAACATGGCGGTGTATCCGGCGGGCGAACACAAATCCGGATATTTTTGGTAAAAAGCGCGGTATCCTTCGTGTAATATATATACTTCAGGATAATTTAGCGCGGGATAGTTCTCTTTGTTTTTTGCGCGATCCAATGAGCGAAGTAAACGAGATCTGGAAAGAAGACAGATCGTTATTAAGTTTATTTTAAGCAAAAACAAACTATTCTATAATATAATTTAATGCATCAAATTTTTATAATATATTTTCCTTACTATTTTCAAGTTTACAAAGCGTTATATTTCCAAAATTACAGCTAGTTGCAGAAACGTCCATTAAATCTTTCATTAATTTAAAGTGACATTACCCATACAATTTTGACATTCATTAGAGCTTAAAGGAGTCATTAAACCTTAATGAACGTTTGTGCAACTCACCGTATGTCTTTAAGAAAGTAATCTTTAACAAGTCTTTCTTATTTTAAGACATAGTCTAGATAAGTAGTTTTAATGTCTTTTCTATTATTATTAATAATACCTAATGTTTCATTTGTCTTAAAATATTTAGTCAGTTAAAATATTAAACCTATATTACTGTCAATACATCATAAGCAGTGGTCGGAATTAGGTAGAGTTATTCATGTACTTACACTGATTTCATACAGCGAAAGAATAAAGTGGATATGCCTCAAATCCCGAGATTAATTTTAAGAGCAGAAAAAATCCCGTGATTTTTTAAATAAAAAGTTATAGGCTAGAAGCAAAAGTATTCGCTCATATTTATAAAAAAGGCGAAATATGCGTATGAGAATTTGCTTAAGACTATCAATAATTTGTATTGTAAATTAATGTAAACTAATAAAATTTTTATGTTAATTATCTTTGTTTTATTTGTCTATCTCTGACGTTGTTATTATTATTTAGTTGTAAGATTGTTGGCCACACGGGATTGTCCATTAGAAATCCCGGGAAGGTCCACATTAATATCAACATTTCGATGCAAGTACATAAATAACTCTGCCTAATTCGACCTCTGATCATAAGTTACAGTACGATATAAATATATACTCACAGCTTAGGCCCCCTCTCTAGAGAGAACTCGCAGTGGAATACTAGGATATTCCTCTTGGTGTCAGGTTCTATTCTCGGTTCAGTCACTAACGCTTGCACTTGAGCTGGTGTGTACAGGTTGATGGCATCCTTTATATGGCCACCGTCATACTCATACGGATACCGGCAGTCGATTACCTGTAAATATATATTATAATTAAAGCATTTATCTTAATAATATATTAAGTAATTTTCCACCAGCGGCTTTGATCGCGTGTATTAACAATGTATTGTAATAAACAATGGTTACTATGGTAACGTTTTAATTCCCCATACAAACTTTCAACTCCCAATTTCATGTCTTTATTTGCTGTTTTTCGGGATAAAATATAGCCTATGTCGACCAGTAATAGGTAGTTAAAATAGGTCCAGGAGTTTTCGAGCCTATTCGTTGCAAACAAACAACCAAACATTCAAATCTTTCGTATTATAATATTAATATATGTAGATATGAGGGTACATCATATACATTGCTCAGATTCCAAGACGAGTATCTCTTATTATGGAGCATCTGAGACAATGGAGGTACCACAACACCCAGATCCGAGATAATATAGAAGAGTCCATCCCTACATCAATCCGTCCAATAATGAACCCGGGACCTCACAGATGGCGACACCCTGAGCCCGTCGCGCGAGTCACGACATAAAGTACCAGGCTAGCATAAACCGAAAGAGTATCTTACAGCGTAGGACAACATATCAAGTCGAGTCCTTCCTTATATCTTTGTTTGTGATATATTTATGAATACTTTGTTTGTACTTAATATATAATTAAACTAGCCGTTTGCGCACGACTTCGCCCACGTATATTAAGATACCTTGAAAACCTTCATGCGAGCAACTATTTAACGACATATAGTACCAGGCTAACATAAACCAAAAGAGTACCTTTCTATGTAAATCAACGCTTCGATATGACTAAAGCTGAGCCCTTACATCTTTGTTTGTGAAAACTTTATGAATATTTTGTGTGTTTCGAATTATAATTAAACTAGCTGTTTGCCCGCGACTTCGCCCGCGTATATTATAAGCTACTTATAGGCCTTCAAAAAGGGTGTGCCATACCACCATTTTTTTTCCTAGGTTTCAACATGCAATCTTTTTTTCCTTGATTTTTAACATAATTTCTTTTTATTATTCACCTTTCGTAATTAAAAATTTTTACTAATCAAATATACGCTTTATGGATGTCAGTTCGTAAAAAAATTCAACTGTTGTAACGTAAAAATCACATATATTATAAATTTTATTAATAATTGTTATTAAATATGAATGAGTAATTCAAATAAGAATTATATAATATAATAATGTGCAGTCTGTACCTTGGACTATTCAAGTTATTGTCAAGAAACCCAAAAAGGGGTATGTACTCGTTTTATTTAGTAATTTTAAATTTTATATTAAGTTTAACATACGGACTGTTTTTATATTCATTTTTTGTTTGATACAGTTTCTTTATCCTTTATACAATAAATAAATCCATTCTCAAGCTAGTAGTATTTAATTGGCCCAAGCATCGAACCCGTGAGAGTGACTACCGACATAAAGTACCAGGCTAACATAAACCAAAAGAGTACCTTTCTATGTAAATCAACACTTCGATCTGACCAAAGGCGAGCCCTTAAATTTTTATTTGTGACTAGCTGACCCGACAGACTTCGTCCTGTCAAAAAGATTTGTAATGTGGCAGTTTTTTTGCCTACGTATTTAAAAAAATTCTCCTGAACAGAACCGTCACCCTGGTGATAGGGCGTTGTGAATAAAAAATAATTAAATAAAACATATATAAGGATTTAAAAGTAAGTAATCGCTTTATTGTTAATCATGTGAATCATAATTATTATTGCAATGTATTAATAGTAATAGTATTAAATATAGAAAAAAGAGATTTTTATAATCATAAAAACACATTACACACAACAGCATTATAAAAGTAAACTATTCGAATTAAAAAAATATATAAACATTCTCAAGGAAAAATGCTGGAAGAATCCATCTACCTGTACCCCGGAATGGGACTCGAACCCATTCGCGATCCAGGGACTGCTCTAACCAATGAGCTATCTAGGACCCAACAGCTTTGCTACTACAGAGCGTATTTTCATCAATGTTCCGGCAATACATGTAATGACGTGGAAACTGATGCATTTTATCTCGCGTGCCGAAACTAATACAAAAGAAACGCGAGTTTCGGAACGCGACATTAAACTCCTCCAACTATGTATTCTGTGCTCCAACGCACACACGCACATTGTTTTGATAGATATGATCTTTGACGTTAGGAACACACCTACATTGCTTAGACAACAGTGAGTGCTTGTAATTTAATATGAACTTTATACCATAGCAATAAAGCTCAAATTGACTACGTTTTAGTTACAAATCGTTTGTATGGGAAAAAGAAAAGGGCTATTTTTAGGGTTTTTCCAGCAATAATTCTAATTTTTCTCGCCGTAAAAACCATCCTTGAACTTCAACGAACATTTTAAAAAAAGATTTGGCCAAATTGGTCGAGGCGTTGTTGAGTTATGCGCTTACCAACACATTTTGCGATTCATTTTTATATATATAGATATCTTTATGAATATTTTGTGTTTACTGAATTATAATTAAACTAGCTTTCTGCCTGCGGCTTCGCCCGCGTATATTATAGGCGATACCTTGAAGCCGTGGCGCGAGCCACTAACGACATAAAGTACCAGGCTAGCATAAATTAAAAGAGTATACATACCCGATATGTGTCTAGATGTTGGTTGTATCGTCCGGTGAGTATGGCGGCGAGCGTGTCGCAGCTGATGGCGCGCAAATCGGCGTGTTGCGACGCCGCCGCCGGCAACAGGAACGGACGGGAGAAGTCGCCGATCAGATCGGGCTCCGTTGCCGCTACAACAACACAAGGTATATACTTATAACTTGTGTTTAAAGAAAAACAAATATTTAAAAAAAAATATATATACAGGGTGATTGTAAAACGCTATTGGGCTTACATGTTGCCAGAATAAAAAAAATCTATTTAGTCCGTCAGTAAGATAACAGAAAAATATTAGATACGTATTTTTTTTTCTTCAATATAAACAAGAAATGGCTTAGATAAAGAGCATTGAAGTTGACATGTGGGTACTCGCTACGTCACAACTTGTAGAAAAGTGACGTCATGCGAAATTTCAATTCATAGCTCAAATACGTGTTTATTAAATCTTTTCTATCTAAATAAAAATCACTCAATATCCCTATTGTCGGGTTATCGCAATCCGTTTAAAAGATATAGTGATTGTAATAGCATTTTATGGAATTATGTAACGTTTAAAGTCGAAATCTCTTACAAATGATGAACTCAAATTATCAAAAAAAAATTATAAAAATTTATTTAAACCGGTCGAATGATTTGTTATTGACGATATCATTCATTCGATACCTTTGAAAAAAACCGCGTTCACAATAGCTAACACATGTCAATTAGTTGTAGCGTTCGTGAAATTATTTCATATGTCAAATCCAAAGGGTTTGCGACAGACTTTATAATGGTGTCAAGCTACAGTTCGTAACTGTTTTAAAATGCAAAAATAATAACAGCAGTTCAGTCTTAGTTTGAAAATGTTAAAATAGGAGTCCCACTAGGCAGCATTTTGGGACCTTTGTTTTTGTTATATATAAATGATCCACTTGGTCCCTCCAAAAATCCAGTTTAACAATAATTATTATTTTTGACAATAATAATAGTTACAAAAAATTGCTGATATATTAAAAAATTAATCCTTTTTACAAAGTCATGATGTAAGCAATTCTTTTTTTTTTATTCAAAAAGGACAAAACTGGGGATAATTCTCTAACATAATAAATTAAAGCCAAAAATTTTTTAAAACACTTACATCTAGCCAACGCAGACATGATCGAAGCATTATTCTCAGAGAACGCTCGTTGAAGAACAGGTCTTTGCATTCTTTCGACAACCGGATTAACTAACTCCTGTTTCCTTCTCTTAGTATTAATATCTTCTTCCTCTTCACTCTTCTCCATCCTTTTCTGACACTTTTTAGGGTTCTCCAATATAGAGAACAAGGACACTCTAGCTTTAGAACTGTCCGGATTAAAACTTAAACTCCTATTAAATGTTTTACTATGTGTCTTATTAATTAAAATGCCATCTTTAATTGGACCGGATAGCAAATCGTTGAAATTAGCCATTTTAGGTGAACAAGATGGCTCTTCAATTTCTAAAAACGGCTCTTCCAATTCACTTATAAACCCACTTTCCATAGAAGCTGACGATTCTAAAGTCATTCTTGATCGACTAGAAGCTGGTGATGAGAAAGAACTCATCGAGCCGATGCTCGAGTCACTTTTCTCGTGTCTCAATTGATTTTTAGTTGGTGTTTCAGTGAATTTTAAAGATTTCTTAACCGATAAGCTATTCGTAGTCAGTTTCTTAGCCGGTGGTGAAGTGAACTCGAAGTTTTCATCTTCGAAATTTAACATTCTAGTAGCAGTGTTATTCGGTCTGTTGAACGATGTGGACTGCTCTGTATCAGCTATGGGTGCTCCGAATATAAAGTTTCTGGAGTTTATTTTCCTCGAAGACGACGTTCTTCCTCTGGATATGATGTTAGGGCTGTCTGTACTTATTATTTCGTATTTTGTGCATTCGTCGAAATTGTCGTTGTCGAATTCCTCTTCTAGGTCTTGGAGTGTCTCCATGTCTGCGTCTAAATCTATGTCTTTCTCTGGCACGAATATGTTTTCTTTGGCTTCTTGTTTTGGTGGCAGCGAGTCGGTGAAGTCCAGCTGGAACACAGAAAATATAATAAATACAGGTCAAGTTTTTCATCACATCAATAAAAATTTAGATATGGCTAGAGTTATAAAGTTACTACAGTAGCTCTACTAAAGACACAGTGATGGTTATCTTTGATTACAGAAGTTAAGTTACTTTCGCAAAGGTCAGTCATAAGATGGGTGACCTTTTTTTTTGTTTTTCACTGCGTGTTCGGAAGACACTAACTAATTGGTCTCGACAGCATTTACATTGATTAATACACAAAAATTTGCAATAGTCCTACATAGCGGGTGTTGGCCTGTTATTTTATTCCATGGATAGAGAAATCATTAATAGGCTAATAATGAAGATGGTTAAAAAAAATTACCTTAGTCATAGACCAGTTACTCGTCTTCATTGATTGGAAGCTTTGACCGAACGAGCAGTCCCTCGTCTCCTCCTCCACATCCAACTTGACGAACGTCTCACTAATAAACGATTCGTTCTCTTTATTCATTTTGAACTTCGTTCGCTCTTCGAATATCCTCGTTATCTTTGTCGTCGAACGTTTGAATGTTTTACTTGACAACGGTGAAGAATTCCTATCAGACAACGGAGAATTTTTCAATCTTTCTATTACCGGTGAATCCTTCGGTCTGAATATGGGCGAGCTGATATTCTGAATTTCTCCTAGTATCCTACGTTTGGACGGTGTGGCTATTGGTGAAGGTGATTTATTGAAGTTCAGAGAGTGTGGGTTCATCTTAATCTTATAGTTTTGTGTGATCGCATCTTCTCGTTTGCGTTTCGTTGCACTATTGCCGGAGTTGATCTTGAAACTGTCGGTGATCAACCTGGAAAGAAATAAGATTGTTAGAATCTTACTTATTTTATACTTAGTAGTGTCTTATGCATTGTTTGTTTATTAAGTACAATGATTTTTGTTACTCCACAAGATCCTCTTAACTATGTATGAAAATTTAAGAATTAGCCTACACCTTTGGTTGATTATAGGATAAAAATATTATCAAAAATTCATACTCTTATGTTAAGTATATGAAATAAAGTGAATGTATCTATATCAATAATAAAATATTTTATTTAACTATTCCTGAGTCTTATTTTTAAAATTAAAAAGTTAAACTCTAGACAGAGTACGAAATTTAGACTCAGATGAAAACAATCAGTTAGATCTTTACACTAACATAGATATCATAATTTCAACTCAAAACACATACGACTAAAACACAAAATACGTTACGACAATTAGAAATCGTTATAAAATAATCAGTCCCAGGATAACAATGCATTATCAACCCTTTATTCAGAGGGTTGTCACAATTTTTTAGAACGGGGAAGCGATCGGACCTATCACCAGTCGTAAATAAATCGAAGAACTGGTTCTACCGTACCTTTTTGGTGTATCGGCCCTTCTCAAGACATTGTACACATCGAATTTTAAAAACAACAATAGAACTCAGACGTAAGGTTACTTTTGACAAGACACGATCAAATGTTGACTCTAAATTTCTCACGCGAAATAAACATGTTACACTATTCAGCTAATAAAACACTAGATTTCACACCGTACGAAAACTAAGTAAACTTTCAATAATAAAAATACGGTAGTAGAATAAATAAGTGAATCGACAGTGATCAAGATTCAATTCGCGCGCTTTGTTTATAAACCTTTTTGACATTTTGCTATACGTTCAAAAACGAGGGATTAGTGATGTAACAACATAAACAGCCGTTTCAAAAATGGCGTTTAATTGATTAGAGTTTAGCTATATGAACAGATATTTACTTAATTAATTAACTAGCTGATTAAATAAGACAAATATAATAGATAATGAGTAGGTATTCATTTATAGAGTAACCCCTTTCTTAAATATTTTTTTTAAAAGGGTGAAAACATACTCTACTTAACTGTATGCTTTTTAAATATAATAGATAAGAAGGCAGTGGGATCTTCAATCGTTTAGTATAATCAATATTCAACACTTTTATTGCAGATGGGACAGGGGAGTTATTTATGAATAAATATATTTAACGGTTACTTCTTATTCAATAGCTGTCTTCAAATTAACCATTAAAAAAAATGATTTTGGTATTATATTTTAGGTGGATATGCAAAAGAGCATATAGACTAGAGAGCAGTTTACATATCTTCTTTCATTTCAGTATTTGAAAAATTTTTAATGCAAGAAAGTATAAAAGTATACTTTATTTTCATTAGTATCTTTAACAAGTAATCTTTTATACTTTTTTGCTTTGTGAATGCACATTCTTTTGTAATAGATTTATATATGCAGTAAATATTTAGTTGCTTAGAGCATGTTACCCACGCAACTAATTAGAGACGTCTACTGTATTTTCGTAATAATACCGTATCCATGCTGGTAAAACTAGTTAACTGACAAATTATACAAAAATGACTTAAAAACATCATTCGATTGAAAATTTTCTTATTTATTAAGGTATTGTAACATTTTTGAAAAAATGAAGAAAAAAAAAACAGTCAGTTCTTGCCCTCTTCGTCAATCGCTATTGAATTCTTACCCTCAACAATGGATGCTGCATTCGTTGCAACGTCTTATCAGACGCCTAGGGTGTTTTTTTTATGACTTTAACGGCACCGAGCCGAAGGGGACGGACGATTTGAAGTTCGAACCGAAATTATGATAACCAGCCCTTTTAACGGTAAAACATGTAGACAGTTTAGTACAGAGTTTATTTTACATAAAAATTTATAATATTCAAAATTTACGTTAATTTTTTTGCAGAAACTCAGAAACGCTATTTTAGAAGTACATTCGTTGCCATTAAATGACTTAGCATAAACGCATATAATTTCCTTAACAAATACAAATAGTTTTTAAATGTTTATTTAATCTGTTTTGTTTTTTGTTGTTATATAATTGGTGTAAAAATTTTATTAGTCAACGATGAGTCTAAACTCGATATAAAATATTAGGAGAAAATAGGGGTGCAGGCAACTTTATTTTTCATTTTTTTTTATAAATATAAATGAAATATATATAAAAAATATATATCATTCATATAATGAATTAAAACGTTGCTGTGACGTCACGGTGTGCGCTCTGAAACGAATATCGTTCTATGTACGCATAAGGTTGAATTCTTCAAGTTCAGCAGGGCCAATCTGTAACAAATCCGAACCCGAACTCGAATATACTCGTGTGCCCAAATTCACGTCATTAAAATGTAGAAATTCTAGTGATTCCTTTTTTGTATAAAAATACAACACAAAATTGATCGAATATACGCGTCTCAAATATTCTATTCCTTTGTCATTTCGAAACTCACTTCACTTATGCCGCGAAACGTCATTACCAATTCAAGGTTTTGAGGTGAATTCAGAGTGAGTGAATTCTAATTCGGGTTTGGATTTTTACAAAATCGGAGAGCTGATATGAGTAAGAAAGGCATGATGTCACGCGCTGTTTGCGATCACGTGACAAAGAGCATACAATATTTGTTTTTTCATAATTAGTTTAAGCAATATTTCAATATAATAAGCATAAAAGTGATACCACTACCGGACAAACAAATGTCTTTATTTTCGTTTACTGTATACACCCATAATATGTTCTTATTTTATAACAATTTTTTTTAACATATACTGTTAAAGTTTAAGTAAAAACCGCTTATAAAAAATGTATTTAACAATTGTCATGTTCAAACCGTTAAATATACCAGCTCTTTTTCATGATTTAAATACAAACTCGTCGGGTGTCAATGCACCAACAATACATGCAACTCTGAAGTTAAAGCGTTGAGCCAACTAGACGTATCATTGTAAGGTAACCTACCCTTTTTTTAACTTTAAAACCACTGCAGTATTTAATTCACTCCATATTATGACGGAACAGGTTTTTAATAATGATAACATTCATTTGTTTTAGATAAGAAAAAGTTTTATACAAACCGTGACCGTTTTCTTTGATCATGAAAAAGAACTAGTTTTGTTTTTTTTGTTATATTGTATATCGCGGTCACATTTTTTTTATACGTTCAGACCAGTATTTTATAAATAAAAGTATTGACTGGGTGATTTGACTATCAGTGAGTGAACTTCTCATTGGCATTTAGTTTACTTGATAATTTGGTTAACAAAGTATATTGCATTGTTTAATACATATATATTTTTATACCGGTACTCAATTCTCTAAGGGTTACCATTAAAAATGATGTTATGAAACAGGTTGTTTGAAAAATAATAACTAATTGAAGTGATTTCCTTTTAAGTAAAACTCAGAGAGATCTGAGGCCTGATCGTCTAATTTTTTAAATCAATCGCAATTTGACATTTGAAAGATATTTACGAATTTTACACTTCCATTTTTTGACAGGTGATAACAATTGACGCTTTTTTTAACGATACTGAAAGAACAATATCATTAATTTAATGTTAATTAGAGTCTAAGGCAGGCGTTAGATGAAAATATTACTCAAAGTTAAAAAGTTTTTTAGGTCTCTGATTCATTTAAATCATTATTTGTTCTGAAAGCAATTGCTACTAAAAAAGTTACATAATTCCAAATACCTTTGAAAGATATTGCGTTAGATTTTGAAATCAAAATTGAACTGGTGCTAACAACTCATGTGACGCTTTACGTCGTACAATACTTGACAGAAATATTGTCGCGAAACCGTTATGGATTACGAAGTTATCGGCGGATGACATTGGTTTCAGGGGATCGACATCTGCTCCGTAACTAAATATAGAAACCGCAGTATATCGGCGTTAACCGCCTGTAACATCCTGTTTACGATATTACAGGAAATCTCAATTCTGCGCAGAACTTGCCAGTGTTCCAAGATAACCTGATACTCCAATTAATTGTTTACATAACAATGCTTAAAACAGTACCAATTGTAAGCATTGTCAGCTTATAATTTGTCTTGTTGAATTATAAACTATTTTAGCTTTAAGTTATAATAATTCTAGTAATATTAAAAACTTTATGTTGCTCACAATTTTACGGTGGCATTGGCATATACATATAAGAAATCGATTTATTTTTATATTTTTGTGCAAGCTACTCACTTATAATGAAACAACTTTTGACCGGTTTTTTTATATTTTATGACGTTTCGGGTCCTATGCAGGCTCTCGTGGTCACTAGATCGAGTCTAGTGACCAATACACACGTGAATACCATTCAAAAGCTAAAGGTCTTCTTCATTATATGCGAACTGTATAGCCGAGTGGCTTGTATGCCGGTTTCGATAGTCGGTCGGGTTAAAGTAGAAAATGGACTTTTCTATATTGTCTCGAGTCTTGATATTTGTTACCTTCGTTGTCTAAGAGATTCTTTAGATTGCTTTAGCTTGTGTTATGCGTGTTATTATAGTGGAGGTATATGTCCTTTTTAATGGTGAAACCATTTAGCACAACAAATCACTGAAATGAAGTACATAGATTAGTATGCCGTGTCATTGGTATTTCTAAGTATTACATACGACACCTAAACACTTGCACTGTAAAGAAAAACGTAATTATTATATGATATATTATTTGAAAAACACACGTTTTTTTTTATTAATACGTAAATGTTAATTGCAATTTTTAAAAATACAATAAAATTGATAAAGCTGTTCAGGCTGTAAACGTGATTTGTTGAGTTTTATAAATGTACGTAATAATATTAAGATGTATACGACGCAACATTGTTTTTAAACAAACAATATTTTATTCATACATAAATTCAAACATGGCATTCAGTACTGATTACGCGACTAAGTAAACACTTATAAAAGTCATTAGGTTAAGACTCGTTAGTAAAAAAAGTCGATGAACCGTTATTTACTTATTCGGGTAAATCACAACCCTCCGAGCGTCGACCGCTAAGCAGTAACCGCTAGAAATAACCGTTGCCGTTGCAACGTGCAAGGGTGCACCACTATTCCAAAATGCAAACATTTCAGCCTATAATAGCCGTTCTATTCTGGCGTAATTACACGATTGTGTTAAGTTTTTGTATTAAACTATTATAATCACGTTGTAAACGTCTTGTGATTGTGATATTTGAGTGAAAGTTTAATTATAAAATTATGTTTATGAAAAATTATTATTTTATGGAATTTTATATATAAATACTAGTTTCAAATATATATAACAGATACAAATATAATACGTAACTCGAGAAATATAAATAGAAGTATATTTTTCTGCACTAATCATAACTCCATCTTACTATGTATTATAAAAACCGTCATCACATAAAAAAGTAGTTGCTGTTTGTGCAGCGCTGTGAAAATAAAGAAATAACAAAAGGTTATTTAGTTTTTTTTATTAATCAACTTTTACTTTTTTTAATTTAAATACATCCTATTTAAATCAAAAAAGTAAAAGTTGGTATTTAAATTAAAGAAAGTACTAAAAAGCAAAAGTTGATTATTGCAGGAAAAGAATGGACCAAAGATAGTAATTTCCTTTCCTTTTAACTAAAATATTTTAAAAACTGAAATTTGCAGAAACTTAGATCAAATATGAAAAAGTACAAATAAAATATGAGTTATTTATTGAGTTTAGAAAATTAATTTACTTTTATACATGAAAGGAAACCGGAAGGGTTATCATGTAGAAATCAAGAAAGTACCGTAGCGACATCTAGTATGATTTCGGGAACTAATGTTTTTTTTTAATACTTCCTCATTGATCATGATATTTCAGACAAAATGTAACGTCAAAATTATGCCAAATATATATTAAAAAAAAAAAAACTTTTAATCAAGTTAAAATTACACAATGTATTTTAATATGCCATTACGAGTGGTACTACATATTTTTATCACAATAGCATATGGCACGCGCCAATTTTATTATTAAATGATACACCCACGTTGTGCAACATAAAAAAGAATGGAATTTGAACTTTAATTCTTTGTCACAAAGTTTATTGTTGACGATTTAGGACCACCATTATTACATGGGGGAGTTGATATCAACGGTATTTTTTACAGACGGTTTAATATAAAAGCGATAATGGCGTAACGTAGTCTCCCTGCTGATTAGGAATTGTAATAATGCATACAAAACTATCTATTATAAGTTTTGAACCTTAGTTGTCAACGTAATAAGGTTTAAGATAGATAGTATAGAAAATCAAAAAAATAAAATCAAAATTGTTTATTCAGTTTAAGCTTTTACAGAGCACTTGTGAATGTCGAAAACTACGCCATCGTTTCGCAAAACTACGGCGGGAGACCTTGTACTGAGAAGAACCGACAGGAAACTTAGCAAGGGCTGTTTTTTTCTCGCTGTTTTATTTCACACAGAGAAGTCTTATTGAAAAGTGACTTCATTAGAATATGAAGTTACATTCCATAATCCTTCCTTTCACATACCATGGAAAGACCTAACGTACTTTAAACTCACACAAATCCAAAAAAATCCAATAAGGAAAATTCTATCTATTTTCCCTATTACAATAATATAATATACAATTAGCACAAACATAAGATAATACTCGTAGTTCATGTAAATAAATTTCAATAACTACATTAAACTAATTTATTATAGTTTATTCTTCTATCTAAACTCCTCTTAGACCTATACTTATTTATTAACGTTCATATTTTTATTTCAATTTACGCAGCAATTCAATATTTCAGACACCACCCCCAATTCTTAACAAAATCACGATAAACATTATAACAATAGGCTTAACGGTAGCAACGCCTTGGGGTCAAAGGTAAGGAAAAAAAAGTAAATGCAAGATGGCGCGTGCGCGGGCGGCAGCTGTGCGTAACAATAGATTAACGACAAGTGAATTTGCGCATCATACCGTACAACTGGCAGATGTAAGATCTTATCTTTTTTTTTTCTTTAAGAATATTTTCAAATTTGTTATGATAACGGTTAGGAAGCTTGAATTGAAGTGTACAATGAGGTTGATTTTCAATTTAGGGAATACATTCATAACCGTACAGTGCCGTAACTTTAGAAGATCAATCACCGTTGAGAATTTATTTACTAGACCTATTATTCATCAGGACAACTAAGAATATCCTGGAAAGCTTTATAGTACAGTACATTCCCCTTAAAAAAATACTATAAATATTTTTAGGATATAAAAATATGTAATTATAAACAAAATGTATCAATAAAAGAATTGACAAGTAACTATACTTACTTCAAATCAATTTAAAAAAAACTTTAAAAATGTTTTAATGCTACATTAATAAATTTAATTTAAAACTTGAAACAGTGATATCGTTCCATAACGATCCAATCTATTAAAAAAAATACAATCAAACATTAAAAAACTATTTTTTAAACATTCTACTATCAAAGGCGTTGGCGTTGCGCGCGTGCGTCCACATCTGCCTTCCGCATCTTAGATGCAACAAGTGCATTTCCCCTTATGATCAGCTGCCGCAGCTGCTTTGGCTGTATAGTTACGTTTCCTTGCCCTATTTTTCGATTAATATATTTTTTTTGCGAACATTGACCTTTAAGGAAGCCAGATGGCGTATAGATAAGATTGTAGTTTGATTTGTGACTGTTATTTGCCACAATAGATAACAAACAGATATGTCTTGCTTCTTCATATTATAAGCCATTTTCCCTATAAGCCAATAATAATATAAAATTATATATATTTATCTAGTATATAACATAATATTATTATATATTATGTTATATATATATAATAATAATATAATTTTATTACATTATACTTACATTATATACAATAGAAGTATAATGTATACATATATTGTTTTTCTTCCTACACAGTATACATGTACACCGTCCATTATTATAAGCTCATTTATGATTTAAGTCCATCCCAAGGTTGCCTTGAAGAGATCACTTTTAGTGATAAGGCCGCCATTTGTACGTCTCCTTTTTACAATTGAAATTGTAAGTGTTATGTGTGTTTACAATAAAGTTTATTCTATTCTATTCTAACATTAGGCAACGGCCTATTAAAACTTAGGGAATGAAAAATTTAAACTTACTAAATGAAGTTAACTATTATCTTATAATTTAATGAAATTAAAATATAAGTACGCAACTTTTTTCGTGGAATTATATAAATGAAATTTAAAAAAAAATGTTAATGTGAGCCTTGCGAAGAGCATCGACAAGTAATCAAGTCTTTGTGGTATTAGTTTCGTGAAAGAGGTTTATTTACAAATAAAAAAAAAAACTAGGCCTATTGACACGACCTTGCGGTATTCTTTTTTAAATATCAATGGCGTTGCTTTAACACCGGATCCGGAAGCGCACGTGCGCGCATTCAACTAATAAGACTACTGGTTCATCCGATTCACTTTCATTCAAATACTATTGTCTGATTTGTATGTGAAGCCTGTGCTCAACTGTTTTGAGTATATAATAGTAAAAGTTAAAAGGAAAAGCGTTTGAAGGGTTATTTAGAATTGAAAATATTGACGTTCGAAATTCGAACTGTTTTCATCTAAGTCAACTTTAATTATTTAAAAAATACAATGGTTCCCGAAATGAGTTTTCGTTTTCGTCGCTTGACACAAACGAATCGATATTATACTGCCTCAATTCGGCTAAAACGTTATACCACTTGGATGCGAGGGTTGCGCACAGACAGACCGTTACTGATCGATACACGATGATGCCGGAGCATTGTTCATTGTTCTCTATTGAAATTCGAGGGTGTGGTGGGATTAAAAGAAAAAAAAACCACTGTCTATGGCATTCGAAACAAGTTGCTTTGATTAAGCTTGACCATTCAGTGTTTATCTTAATGGCAATGCTATAAAAATAAATTATTTAAGGAACGGTTTCAATCGTCATCATCAAGCTTGTTCAGTGACTGAATAACTATAATAAAATAAATATAATTTAATTATTGCAATAATGAAAACAGTAGATTTTGACCTTAATGGCATTGTAATATTGTTTTACCTTACGAATATGTTAATAAGAGAAGTAAACAAAATATACTATTGGCTAAATACACGAGACGTAATAAAAAAACTTTTCTCCCGAAAAAACTTGACACTTGTGGCTGTTTAAAACAATTCCGAGCGTTTATTACGTCACATCCTGTCCGTTTAAGAAGCCACCGGAAAGGCGCGACAGGATTCAAGCTCGGCTGCCTGTACCCAGAGACTGTATATCTCCTCGTAAGTGTAACCACTACCACAGGTTCTCAAAGTTATTGTTTTTTTCTCATTTCCGAATTGTGGTCTCAGTAACCATAGAGTCATTTACCGGCGACATAATGGCAGATTTTACGATGTAAAAGTACTTGAACAGCGCAGCAAATGATAGGTCTTTTATTTAAATTATTTTGATGATGTAAATATAGTCATCTTACGGCTAATAGAAAACATGAGGTCCTTGGTAGAGATTTATTAAAATTGAATTTCAAACCTGTGATATAAATTATTTCTATATAACAAAAGGCAGAATGTTAAAGATTCTTTAGCATTAAAATAAATGAACACAAATTCAATCTGAATAAGAGAATAGACATTCAATATATCGTGGACTATGTGTGGATTGTAATAACCTGTTCATGTCCTAAGTAGGACAAAGCTGAAAGGTTTTTGAACATTGGTTTTCAGAGTACAACCCCTTAATCGAGAACCTGGCTTGACTGTACAACTGACCGCCTAAAATAAATTGACACTGACCGAAGAGAAAATTTGAAATTGACACGTCTAACTTATTTTAGTCGGATAATAGTTTAGCTTCTAGTATTTATTAATGCTTCCTAAGTTATAATATCGGATAGATACTTAAAAATAATACCAAGCCACATAAATGCTTGTTAATGATAATAATGGATGGTATGATGCGATTTTCACGTGTCGATGCGTACGCGCCCACCATCTGTTGTCTGGTGGTGGCACTACGCGTGGGGCGACGCGCGGAGGTCCGACGTGTATATTTATGAATATTGGACAATAACCTTACTGCATATTGTAATA